TTACTGTCAGGTGGACTGTGTGCTCGTTTGTCACCCTTATCCTATAAAAAAAAATTAAAGAGCATTGGTACAATAAATATTAAGAAGCTGAGTGTTGCTTTTTATTGATACCTATAAAATTCCCTAATATAACAGATATAAAACATTATTTTGCTTTCAATTTATGAATAGTAATTAATAGACCCAATAATTACTTACTTTTGAATCAATATTTTATAAATTAAAAAGTTAAAGTTAAATTTACATCATATATATATCCCACAGCTGGGCACAGGCTTCCCCTCATTTCTGAGAGGGTTTTAGGGCAAGGGATTGTTCACATGCTGCCTCTATGCATGTTGGTGAACTTCACATGTCTTTGGAAAAAAACATTTCTTATTTCTCAGACATGCAGGGATTGAACCTGGGTTGCATGCGTGTTGTGAAATTTACAGCGAGTGCTTAGCCCTAAGAGCTAGCATGTCTCACTTTATAAATTTTAAAAATGGTTTTATATTCATACATTCATTCATTACATCCCCTAACAAGTCCACTGCTGATCATAGGCCCCAAAGAATGCTACAAAGCACGGTCTTGGGCCATCTGCATCCATCGACTTCTTGCATGTCTTACCATGTCGTCAAGATTGTTGTGATTATATTATATATATATATATATATATATATATATATATATATATATATATATATATATATATATATATATAATGTTAATAGCAGAGTAGTTAGAAAATAGTCCAAAAATATTTGCTCATGAAATAAAAGCAAAATTAAGAAAGAATTCTGTGTAAAACTTATGTAGTGTTTTAAATAACAATTATTAAATTTCAAGTCCATTAACTTCATATAATAACATTGAATAAAACATTCTCATTTTTAAACATTTTAGTGCCAATGCATCATGATTACCTTACTAATTCATTTAGAATATCATTAGATAATCACCAACTAAATATTGATTTTTTGGTCTAAAATGTATCATTAGTTAATATCTCATTATATTAATGAACAGAACATTTTATTGAGTGATAAATAGGTTTCAATCCCATTATTGCAATAAATTTATTGGTTAAAATTAAGTTAGTGAATGGCAACATTCAAGTTAATTTTTGATTTCTGTTCCATTTTGAAAGCATTACATATACTTTACAATATTTTCCTTTAGGGGTTTTATTACTACGAAAAAGCAGATTGCTAAAATATAACGGCCAGTAACATCTAGTGTTAGATAGAAAAATAGTCACAATGAAAAAAAGTAATTATAAAATAATGTAATTTGCAAAAAAACAGCTAAGTATAAATATTTTTAGAAATGAAATATTATGTAACCTCACAACATTTCAATACTTTAAGTCAGTACTTTAAGTGAAAGTAAAGATGTTCAAAGAACAATTATTTTACCATTGCATTGTATATAATTACTAGCTGACCTGGCAAACTTTGTTTTGCCATATACATTTTTTCTAAGAAATATTTTTTAGTTTTAAAAATCGCGATTAAAAAACAGGTATTGATCGTAGAAGGGTGAAAATTTTAAATTTTATGTATTTTTAATGCTAAATCATAATAAAATAAAAATAAAAAAAATTGTAAAAAAATATTTACAAATACAAAATATTTAAATGTCACCCTTATCATTTAACAGTTTGAAAAATAGACGTTGGCTGATTCTCAGACCTACCCAATATGCACACAAAATTTTATACAAATCGGTTCTGCCGTTTCGGAGGAGTTTGGTAACAAACACCGAGACACGAAAATTCTATCTATATCAGATTGGTGGTATATTTTTAATTGATATTATATATACATATATATAATTAAAATCAAAGAATCTGCCTGTACTAATAAAATAACTGGCTTCTATTAACTTTATTTATATGTTATGACATGAATAACCGTTTTGAAATTTTTTGTCTGTCTGTCTGTGTTAATTTTTGGAATGACACAAATTGTAATATAACTTTAGGAACAGATAAGAGCAATGCCAGGAGTGATCTAAATTATATTTCATCCAAAAAACATGCAAGATTTTTCTTGAAATTGAGAAAGGAATAAAAAATAAATGGTATTAAAAAAACTAGCAACCTGCCCCAACTGCGCACCTATGTGGGATCTATTAATGTGTTGTTATTCAGATTGGGGGTTTGGGGTTGCATTTGGGCATAGCTCTCTATCTGCTTGTGAAGTTTCATTACAATTGGTTCAGCTATTCCAAATATTAGTCCTGACAGACAGACAGATAGTAAAATTTTAAAAAGTAACCATTTTTTCATTTCTTAGTGGCATGCAAATAGAACCCTGATCTCAATAACAGGAAGTTATTTCAATATTACAAACAGACATCCAAATATTATTTATATGTATAGATAAATATTACGGATTTAGTATATATATAGTAATAGAACGGATTAGTAAGCTGAAGTGGCAATGGGCCGGCCATATAGCTCGAAGAACCGACAACCGATGGGGAAGAAAGGTTCTCGAGTGGCAGCCTCGTACCGGCAGGCGAAGTGTAGGGCGTCCCCCCACTAGATGGAGTGACGACCTGGTAAGATATGCAGGAAGTCGATGGATGCAGGTGGCTCAGGACCGTGCTTTGTGGCATTCTTTGGGGGAGGCCTATGTTCAGCAGTGGACTTGTGAAGGGCTGTAATGATGATGATGATAGATAAATATTATACATTTACTTGACCCAGATAGCACTCATAATGTAAATAACAGATATTTTCCTAAGGCTAATAAATAATGCCAGTAAGATTATAAGTGGAGAAAATGAAATATAGGTACTTTCTATCTCCATTTCTAATTCTATTTTCAATGATCGTATCTAACTATAAGTCAATATAATTTTTATCTTGGAAATATTGTTTAGTAAAATATAATGATATTGAGAATATAGTATCAAATAGCAGTAAGTAGTAACACTGCTGCTAAAATTAGTATGTCACTCAGATAACTGAATGTTACATGTTAAATTAATTTGTAGCGTGGTATTAAAATATATTATGTATTTCGATATGTAATTATATGACAAAAGACCTTAGTACGTAGTAGTTTCTATCACTCTTGTATTTACTTATATCTACCTTACCTTACCTAACTACTTCTAATTTTTCATGAGTAACAAATACCAAATCAATGACTGAAGAAATGGTCACATATAAATATATAAGGAAATAATGCAAAGGAAACAAAACAGAACTGATTACTAATCTTCTAATTATTAAGCCATTGGTACTTTCATTTGTTCACGGAACAAGAACGTGTGCCGGAATAATGATAAATTACGATACAAACTTGGAAGGTATGCATTTGGTTCAAATTTTATGATAGACACATAAGGAAATGATATGTAAATTCACTGTGCCTATTTAATATTTAATTTCCTAAATACATTAACCGCCGTTACGGAAGCGTTTGTGATTGCAAATTTAATTTATGGGTGCGGCCATGTGCTGCAGCACCAGACATTTGTGTTGCTTCGTACCTAGCAGCAACAGTTTAATGTCTTTGGATGCTTGGATTCCATCGTCTTTCAAGCTCTTTTCGATCGCCTTGCTCCGAGCTGCCGCCGCGCGCTCCTCTGCAGACTGCGCGCACCCCATTTTGGCAGCGATCCGTGTGCCTGAGCCGCCGTCCGCCCCGACTCCAGAGCCGGGCGCACTCTCACCGCTCCCTCTGCATACGCTCCACACGCGTCCTGCCGCTCCGGCTTTACCGGAGCCACCCTACACAATATTAGCACCCAACACAGTAACCTAATCGTAACACTTATCACTGTACGATTCCTAACCCACTAAAATTTGAAAACGGCTGCACAATTCCAGATTTCACAATTATCCAATGCACTTCACACTGAAACGCGTAACGACAGCGTAATTGATTTTATGAATCTGTATGAGATAATGGCGGCCGGATGACAAGCACCAGCTCCACTCCGTGACGACTGACGGCGACCGCGCCCCGCTCGACTGACGTTCGGGTGCGTTCGGTATTTTTCGTGCGAGCTCGCTCACACATGCGTGAAACTAATTCACACACGAAAGAGAACATAAATCTACAATATCGCACGCACTTCAATAAACGATTTTTTTAATATATAAAATTTATACAAATACTTAAATGGTATTTATATCAATTTATTTTAATGAAAATTAAATATTTATTTAAAAAAAAAACGAAACGTTAATCGAAAATCTTACTTTGAGGACACTAGAATTTACTCCTGTATCATGGAGATGTTTTATATACGTAGGTACATTAAATCGTACATGGGAAAACATACAGATGCAGAACTATTTCTTGTAGGCCATAGAAACACTTGTTCCGAGCAGGATTCAAACCAAAGGCCCACACCGCCGAAGCCAAATGCACCACTGCGCTATCGAGCCTTTGAAAATATGCTACGTTATCCAACTTGAGAAATTGGCAAAAATTTAGCTATGACAGCTATTTTAAAACAAAACTGTTTTGCTGTATGTTTATGATAAAATAAAATTTTTGCACAGTTGAATCTGCTCTAGATCAAAAACTAGATGTAGACTCTTTTATTATCTTTGAAGACAATTTTATACCTAAGTACATAAAATATGGCTTTCTGTACCTACTTATTAAATATATAAAATGAAACCAAATTATATATAATTGTATAATGCAATTCCTGCATCAGCAAGTCTCTAGTGAGTGAGTAATATGTCATAAATATCCTACTACTAGTATTATTAGAAGATATTTATCAAACCCTAGTGTTTTCTTTTTTTGTTAACTAAGAGAATCAATTATCACACAGTTTTAATTATTATGTGACCAAATAAATATGAAAGGCTTTTCTGCATCGTGACGAAAAGCTTTGAAATCAGTAATCAAAATACCGGATCAACAAGCACTAATATTGTTGAAACGTGCCAGGGCGATGTGGAACGCAGTCGATAGAGCTCTAGGAAGAGTGCGCGCGCAAAGCAAACGAAACAAGAGCGAGAGAGAAACAGGCTCCATTACCGAGGAGCAGCAGCTTGATGTCCTTGGCGGCTTGGATACCATCTTCCTTGAGGTTTTTTTCAATTTGTTTGCTACGTGCTAGGGCAGCACGTTCCTCGGCGGACGAAGCGCAGCCCATGGCGATGGCGCGCACGGCGTGGCTCGCTACGCGCGGCAGCGCCGTGCTCCTTGCATGCTCGCGGCTCGTCGTTGTGCGCAGGTGGCGCCGCGTACGCGCTCGATCGCGCACGCGTACTTTGGTGCTATTCGCTCGCGCTGTAGCGCAATGAAATTTTGTACCCCTTCTTTTCCTTCCTAGGACGCGCGTTGAAGCCTTGCTCCTCTACGAGATAGAGGTGACGTCGCACCGTGCACTCGCGAACGAATGACGGTCGGCGCATTACTTCCCAACGGGAACACTGCGCAGGCTCGTGTCCCTCCGCCTCCACCAAAGTAACTGATGCATGCCGACTTCCCGCGCCCTTTGCACCCCGACTAATTAAACCCTGCGGCAACCTTGGCCATTTGTTGTTCTTACTTGAATTGAACTAAAAATAAAATGAAAAGTGTAAGTAGGTATTTTTGGCCAATTCGTAAATATTTGACTATCTAAACAATATGATCAGTATACCATTGACTGAGGTTGTTTCAGTAATACCTATGTTGTTAAGTAGGTAACGATGTTATATTATTGATTCTGTATAACCAGTAGTGGATTATTATGAAATGCTTTTGACGTGACAATAATACATACCACTACTAATCTGCTGACATAGAGCCTTTCCCAAGATAAAACAATTTAAACTGCCTTAACTATCACACTTGGCAAGCAAATTGATATCATAAATTCAATTCATTCAAATTACTAGGTATACCTACCTCTTAATTATGTCGTCAATCAAACGTCAGCATAAATTTAGTTAGTTAAGAGCCCTGACCTCTCCGAACGGTTTCCCGCCTTGTCGTGGGCAAGGGGAGAGGGCTGCAAGTTAGCTTGACGAGCACACTTTGAATGGAATTAGCATGTTAGTTGACTGCCGCGGGAAAGGCGTTTTCTTTTGTAGTCTGCTGTACCCGAGTCGAAGTCACAGAAAAAACAGTGTTGGTATAACGATGTGCCACTTGCCCTATCCTCCGTGACTCTTGCCGTCCCTTACCGCTGATTCGATTGTAGTGGAGCCCTGGAAAAAGAGGAGTATTGGTCATTTACATAGTGATTTCTTATATTTACGCGATCACTTCGGGGGAGACTGACTGACTGACTGACTATGGGTGCTACAACTACAAAGCATCCGAAACTTCGGGAATTAAAATTAAGTAAATTAAACGCGATTAAATGCGTAAAAGTAGTTTTATTCAAAGTATTGGTCTTGTTCTCGGTCCACCGGTGGGGCCGGGAAGCACCAGTCTTTTCGGAAAATCTCGTAGAATCAATCCATCAACCGCGTTTTTATCGTAATTTAAATTATAGTATTACCATCTGGTACAAAGCTTCCTGACATAAATTTTTTTTTATATTTGACTCCAAACCTATGCCTAAGTTTGCTCAATGTCAAAGTCAAAATAATTTTATTCAATATTGGCCTTTACAAAGCACTTTTTGAAAGTCAAGAAAGCTAGCTAGAGCGTCGCTTTAACAAGTCACCGCTACAAAGGTAGGAGGCTGATTGCTTCGATGGTTTACGAGTAGTAGCCGTAAAGGTGACTGTTGATCATAAGGTTGTTGCCTCAGCCAGTATCGGAATCCTCGGCGTCGACATATCGAGTGAAGTGCAGTTTCGTGGTCACTTAGAAGAGAAGGCCAAATTGGCCTCTAAAAACCTTGGCGTGCTCAGCAGAGCGGGACAGCATTTCATGCCGGCACAACGCCTGCAACTTTACAAGGCGCAGGTTCGGCTTCACATGGAATACTGTTCCCATGTCTGGGCTGGGGCTCTCCAGTGCCAGCTCCTTCCACTTGACCACATCCAGCGCAGAGCGGCTCGAATCGTCGACGAACGAGTCCTTTCCGATCAGTTCAATTCATTGGCGCTGCGAAGAGATGTTGCATCCCTTTTCATTTTCTTTCGCATTTACCACCAGGAGTGCTCTGAGGAATTGTCCGGATTAATCCCAGCCGCCAAATTTCACAAACGCACATCGCGGCAGAACTCCCAATAACATCTACACCATCTGGATGATTGGCGGTCCACCACTGTGCGATTTAGAAGATGTTTTCGTCCTCGCACAACTTCCCTGTGGAATCGATTACCACCAGCGATTTTTCCGGACCGATACGACTTAGGGACCTTCAAGAAAAGAGCAGCAATTCCCCTGGTTCCCCTGGTGTTGCAGTTGTTCATGGGCGGCGGTAGTCACTTACCATCAGGTGAGCCGCATGCTCGTTTGCCTCCTCTCCTATGAAAATTAAAATAAAAAATAAGGTCCCGGATTCAAATCCCAGGTCGGGCAGAATTATATTATTGGGTTTATTTGGCAAGAAATTTTCAGTAGCAGCCTGGAGTTAGGAGTTTATTGGATTTTATCCCCGTGCTTCGGAAAGCACGCGTTTGGTTCTGCGCTCGATCTTTCTCTGATCGGGTCAGATTGCCGTTCTATCGGACGATGAGAATGTGGGAATAGAGGATGCACCTGTGTTTGTGCATACACTTGTGTACTCTACGTTTACCGTTAAAACAATTTAAATGAAAACTTCTATATTTACTACTTTTCAAAGTATTCTCAATTTCATTATACACATTTAAACACTTTTCTTTCGTTTAAACTATTTTTGAAATCATTGGTCTGAACTCTGAATACATGTTTTTTACGTGCTGGTTGAAAGTTATCACGGCCTGTTCTGTGAACCTCTCATCAAATGTGCGAGGTTTAAACTGTGTGTGGTATGGGTTACCAGCTCCATCTTTTCAGAAGCCAAAAATGACTTTGTTTTGCATAACGGTGAAATAGTATGCGATTTCTTGGTCGTTTATCCCTAACTTTTTTAAAGACATTGGGCTAACAAATAATGGTGTGCCACTCAGCAATAACTGTCTTTACCTGCTCATCAAGTGAAATCGTGCAGACAGGACCCGTCTGGGAGAAAAAAAAACGCAATAACCTTTTGCCCACGATTCTTGCTTGCCTCAATTTTGACTGTTGATTTCTTTCTGGAATGTAACAATATATCTATGTTTCATCTCCTGCCACAATGCATACACAGGCATTTGAACGTCCATGATCATACTTTAACATTTTTTACACCAATTAACTCGAGCCATTTTTTTATAGGATAAGGATGACAAACGAGCAAACAGTCCACCTGATGTTAAGTGGTTGCTGCGCCCCAGAGACATCTACGTCTATCCTCTATTATAAATCAAAATGCAGATGCTTTGTCACCCGTGAGGACTAAGATGGAATGCTTCATTTCCAGTAAAAAGGGTCTCCGGTTCTCTACACTCACCATACGAAACACAGCAGCGTTAAGCTGCTATTTTACGCTGGTATTCTTGAGGCGTGAGTTCACGAGGAATCCAGCGACAACAAAGTTTTCTATCTTTTCAATCATCATCATCATCATTCATAATTACATCCCTTATTTATTTATTTATTCATAGGACACCAGCAGTGCACACATTATTATATTTTATTAAAAGTTGACTTAATCTAGGGACTGATGTGTGCACCCTTATAGGTGACTCAGCATTACAAAATACTATAAAAATTAAGATAGGGCTGAGTTACAATAGCATATAAGGAAATATGACACAAAAAATAATACTTAAAGATAATATATAACTAAGACAATGAATTGCCGAGTAGTGGTGGTTAAGAATATCCACTACACCATATCTTCCCGTGGGTGTCGTAAAAGGCGACAAAGGCAAACAGGCAGGAGATGGGCAGCAGCATCTTCCTGATAACAGCAAAAGTACAATAAAAAAACTGCGGTTGCCAACACGCTCGCCAAGCGTGGCAACTATGGCAAATACCCCCCACCCCCCAATGAAGAGAGCAACAAAGAGACAGCCCCCAGTCCCCGGCGGCCCCGCTATTCCTGGCTACGATGGCGACCATGGTAACGGCGGGGCAGGGGTGGTAAGAATCTCCGGTGGAGGTTCGGTTGCCACCTACGACGACTCGACCTGGCAACATACAACACACGCACCCTGAGGACTGACGAGAAGATCGTGGTGCTGGAAGAAGAGATAGACAAGTTACGCTGGCATATTGTTATAGGATTATCCGAGGTCCGAAGAGAGGGGAAGGACACGGTAATCCTCGAATCCGGCAACTTGTTCTATCACCGGGAGGGTGACCACCTGTCCCAAGGAGGTGTCGGATTTATCGTCCACAAGTCTCTGGTTAACAACGTTGTAAAGATTGAGGGTGTGTCGACGAAGGTCGCGTACCTTATACTCAGAATCACCAAACGGTATTCGCTGAAGGTCATACAGGTTTACGCACCAACCTCGGCACACCCCGATGAGGAGGTGGAGGAAATGTATGAGGATATCTCTAGAGCCATGCATTCCTCCAAAACCTACTATACGATGTTAATGGGAGATTTCAATGCAAAACTAGGCACAAGAGAAAACGGTGAGCTGAAAGTAGGGAAATTTGGAATAGGGCAACGGAACCCAAGGGGCCAGCAGCTGGCCGACATCATGGAGAAAGAGGGACTCTTTATGATGAACTCTTTCTTCCAGGAGCGGCCCCATAGGAAGTGGACCTGGTCAAGCCCCGACGGTTCGACAAAAAATGAGATTGACTTCATTATGACGACCAGACGACAACTGTTCAGTGATGTCTCAGTGATCGCGAGGGTGAAAACTGGTAGCGATCACCGAATGGTTAGAGGCACACTGAACCTAAACGTTAAGTTTGAGAGGTCTCGTCTAATGAAGTCAACGCTTTGTCCCCCTCGTGCTCTAATCCAAAGTCCCGAAACCTTTCAGCTCGAGCTACGAAACCGTTTTCAGTGCCTAGAAGATTGCAATGCCGTGGACGATATGAATGACAAGCTCGTGGAACCTGTTCATGCGGTCGGAGCTAAGTTTTGCAAGACCCGCCGCAGAAGAACACAAAAACTCACCGATCATACTCTTAATCTCATGGCTGTTAGACGGGAGATGAAGCTACACTCTTCAACAGATT